TGAAAGGCAAGAGGAAGTGAGAGCAAAAATCTCTCCAGCTAGCCTAGGTTGAAAGGGGTGTTGAGTAGGGGAATGGAATCTATGTCAGCCTGTAAGAGGACAGTGGGAATTTGCAAGGGGAATGGATGTATGCATAAATCATATGATCATGGCTGCCTTGTAGGCAGAGAAGGTGTGACTGGTAGGTAGTCATCATACATTTGATGATATATCAGCATAAATCTGATAATAAGAATTAAGAAAAATTCTGTTTTCATTTCTTAAAATAGGTTCTTTCAAGCTGGCCTTGGAATGTATAATCTTCCTGTTTTCACCGCTAGTGCTGGAATTAAGGGAATGATGTATGTGTGTGTGGTGTGTGAGCCCGAGTGCATGCGCGCATGTGTGCACACGTGCACGCATCAGTACTGGCAGTTTGAATTCAGGGCCTTATGCTTATGCTCATGCTTAGCTTTTAAGCTCAAGGCTAGTGCTCTACCACTTGAAGCACACCTTAAACTTCCATCTATTTTTTACTGGTTAATTGGAGATAAGAGTCCCTTACACCAGTCTGCCCAGCTGGTTTTGAGCCTTGATCCTCAGATCTCAGCCTTCTGAATAGCTAGGATTACAGGTGTAAGGCACCAGTGCGTGACATGACACCTTGTTTTATGTAAAGGAAAACTGTGCCCAGTTTGCCAGGACTGTCTTAGTTTTAGCATTAAAATTTCCACTTCCCAGGATATCCTTCAGGCCTAGACAAACCAGAACCATTGGTCACCATAGTTGTTTCAGGATTAGAATATCTGTGTGAGTATATATATACATATGTATATATGTGGATGCTATTAGTATAGTGCCTGCCATTCAATAAATACCACATGCAGGTGTTTATTGTGGCTCTTTTGAACCTCAGTAAAAATGTATCATAGCTCTGAAAGTATCAGACTTAAAAAAAAAGTACTTGATTCAATCTTGCACCATAGATATGATCAAGCAAAGACTAAAGTAGTCTCATAAAACACTATTTATGAGCTGCTTAATCACAGGATCACAAGACATCCTTGTGCAACCCAGCTCTGAACAGTCAACATTGCTTGGATCAGGAATGTGGAGATTTCATTATCCCTTGAGAAGATGGGGTGAGGCAGAGAAACCAGGACTAAACTATAGGGAACAAGCAGGAGGTGGATCCCATCCCATCCTCCCCAACAGGAGATGTGAGTAAGCCAGATGCTCCCTTAGCATCCTTCTTTTGGCATGCTCCAGGTAGGAGCGTACTGCCAGTTGAATGAGGGTGGCACTCCAGAGGAAACATATTTTTGACACTGGACAAGCTCTGTGGGATCTGAGGTCTGGAGCTCTCCAAGGGTAGAGGGGAGAACATGGAGAAGAAAGCTTCAATGAGACAAACTATCCCATGAGAGCTTGGTGACGATTAATGGAGCTCCCGTGGGCAACAGCTCCACAGAAACTGGCTGCTATCTCTGTGGTGGTGTACAACACCCACACTTTCTAAGCAAAGGCCAGGCCACAGCAACCTGAGTATGTTGGTGTCACAAGGAGTGTAAGTAACACACGAGGAAAGAAGGTTAACTAACGCCACTGAGAGGTTAAAACTTACCTTCATCACATACCTTTCAAAGGAAAAGCTTGTAAATATATTACTGTTTTAAAAAATCAGCCAGCAAAATGATTGAAATACAGTAGAAAAAAGTACATACTTCAGAGCAATAAAATCTAGTTGCCTTAAAATGACCCTTCCATTCCCCCTCCCTCAAAGAAAAAAAATGAGTAAATCGTTCCGGTAAAATGCTGCCTGTTGCCAGTATCCTACACATGCACATGCTAAATATCCTTTACCCTTTTTTTTTCTTGTAGATATTGAGTCCATGCAAATTCTTGAAGAGGAACCAATATAGGATCTTCAAATCTGGATGGATAATTGTTCCTCAGAGTCTAGATTTTAAAATAGAATATTTAAGTTTAGAACAAATTCTCTTTTAAAGTCACATTCATTTCCCTCAATTTTTTCAGGATCTCTGGGAAGTTTCATGCAGCACACACCCAGGACACACAGTCTGACTGAGAAGCCTCTCTACTGCTCCTAGAGGTGGCTTCAAGTCATTCCAAGCCCTCTAGGGCTTCTGTTGATTTTTCTCTTCCTTTTAGGTAGCAAGCTCCCGAGGGCAAGGGCTATATTGTATGTAGGCTTCCTGTATCTGTAGACTTCCACATCAGTCCTATTGTAGACCACCCATACATAGTAACGGAGTAAATAAGTTTATGCCAGTCACTTTGCAATCTGCTATGTTCTTTTAGGACTAGCTTTTTCCTAAACTCCTGCTAAATTGCAGTGGAGCTTTACAGATGCTTGACTTGTGATTGCTTTATTTTACTGATGTAAGGAAAATGACCCAAAGGATATTATGGTTATATCTCTTAGAAAAATGAGAAATAAATACCAAATAAGTTTAGTTTTATAGTGTAAGTTTAATATTGCGTATGCTTTGGTTACACGTGTGTCTGTCTCAGAGAAAATTCTTGCTAGTTAACAATTCATGCCAAAACCTATTGGTTTTGTTCTCTTTTAGGAGGCCAATGCCTTATCCATTAGGCTACTGGGGCTCCTACGTTTTGTTCTCTTTTAAAATTAGCATACCTTGGTTGTGCAAAAGGGTGTTTATTTCCTCACATGTATACAATGGATCCCAATAAACCTCACTCCCTCCATTATTCTCCTCTATTCCTCCTTTCCTCCCTCCCCTACTCCTTTTCTCTCTCTCAGCTCCACTTTTGTGTTTTGCTTTTGCTGGTTTTTGGAAATAAGTGTCTCATGTGCTTTCCTGCCTTGACAGGCTTTAAACAAGGAACCTCAAATCTTCTGAGCTTACTGAGTAGCTAGGATTAAAGGGATGAGCCACCAGTACTTGGCTAACTTTTAGACTTTTAAATGGCTGAAAAGAAAATCAAATTAAACTTGATGTCATATGAAAATTATATGCAAGCCAAATTTAGTGTCTATAATGAAGTTTATTGGAACACTATCATTCATTTACATGTCTATGGTTGCTTTTGCTTGTTTTGTTTGGTAGGTCCACCCCTCCACCCCCCACTTATGTACCTGCTTTTACAACACAAGGACAACTCTACTGAAATTATGACTGAGATCTTATGGCTTAGGGACCATGTATTTGCTACCTGGACTTTGTAGGGGAAAAAACTGCCTATCCTTTCCCTACAGGGTGGAATAACCATAGAAAATATGCCTTTATTAAAGGATCTTGTTGTGTTTTTTTTTAAGAGATAAAAGTTCCTCAAACTCATTACATATGTGTGTTGCTAGTCACTCTTGCCTGGTCAACAGTCCATAATTTCTACATCTTTTGATGACACATGTATCACTTTTTCATAGATACCTGACACTTGTTTTCTTTGTCTTGATGTAAACTTAACCTGCTTTGAAAATCATTTTCCTAACGTGATATAATTAAAATATTTTACTCTGTAGACTCTGGAAGGGGCAAGATGGCAGAGATTTCTTCAGAGGAATTCTTTGTGGGAACAATTTTGTTACAAGTATCAAAGTTGTTGCCAATCCAAAATTACCCAAGTATCCATCTGGAACACAACCACACATAAGACATGGTTGTGAAGATATCATTTCTGGAGCTAATTCCAAAGACATTTTACATTTCAACATTGTTACATTCACACGTTGCCGCATTTCTCCTATTCTAGGTGCAATGCAGCCGCATGACCAACTAGGCCAAATCCTGCACTCTCTTCAGGTATTTTCCTTTGATACCATTCTGCATGTATTGTTTTGCAAAGAACTATTTGGAATCTTGAAGTCACTTATCCATTCATTAAATCCACGAAGCATCTACTTGTTAGAATGCAGTGACTATTTCAGAAAATTTAAAGAGCCTTTCCGTATGAATATTTTCAAAAATCACATTTTGAGGGGAGAAGGGGGGGTGTTAAAGCAGCTGACTCCACTGCTCGCCCATATTTTTCATGAATTGCAAACATCTACAATTTAAGAAATTACCGTGGACTGGCGAGTAGGGGGTGGGGAGCACCATTTTCCCAAGAAGGTTGGGAACGCTTCCTTTCCTCAGATCTCCCTTTTACAGGTCATCCTTCTCTGAGTCACACAAGCGTCCTGGACCTGCATTTATGCCCCACACGCTCGGAGGAGGGTCCCGGCGGAGCCCGCCGGGCTCGTCCGGTCCTCCCGGGCCCCTCCACCCCGCCCCGCCCGCCGCACGCCGGGGCAGGCGAGGGTGCGCAGTCCTCGCGCAGACCCGGGCTGGGTGCGCAGTCCTCGCGCCCGAGTCTGGAGGATCGCAGAGCCGCCGCACTTGGGGCTTTTTCCTGGTTACCTCAGCCGCGATCTTCGCAACCTGAAAGCTGGAGCAGTTATACAGTCCCACTATCTTCACCTGCAGCGGCCGTGGGGGCGGCGGCTGCAAGCGGCTAACGACAGGCTTGGGCCGACAGGGCTGCGGGGTGGCCATGGTGGCGCTCCGAGACCGCCCCGCCCAGAGCACAAACACCGCGCGTCGCCGCGGCAACGGCGAGGCCCCGCCCCATCTCCCGCAGGGGGCGTGGCCGGGGGCGAAGGGCGGGCGGTGTGGACGGAGTGGGCGGAGCCTCTCTCTAACTTTGCTCTTGTTGCTGTTGAACCGGATTTAGGGGCCGGAGAGGGGCGCGAGAGGGCCACGACGGCCAGGGACCAGCTTCAGGACGGAGAAACTCGAATCCGCCCTCCCGAGTGCCCTCTCGGGAACCCCAGGGGTCTGGAGCGCGCTGGGATTTCGCCCTAGATCTTCTTTCGGGATTGGCAGACCGCAGTATCTGGGCCAGAGAAGCGGGTTGTCAGGGTAACGCCGGAGTCTCCCCGCGGGAACCGCGTGGGCTTGGGGAGCTCGGGAGTCGGGGGGCCCGGGCCACCTGTGTGCGCCACCTCGGGACGCGGCGCCGCCCGCCTGCCCCCACTCGCGCCCGGAGGCGGGAGGGCCCATCGGTCGGCGCCCCGTAGCGTCCCCACAATGAAGCCCAACTTCTCGCTGCGACTGAGGATCTTCAACCTCAACTGCTGGTGAGTGCGCCCCGGGAGTGGTGTCCGAGGGACAGCCAGGGGAAGAAGGCCGCCCTCCCCCCTCGGCCCCACGATCTCGGGGTGCACGCCAAAGCCCACCTCGGCCCCCAGCGCCGGCGGTGCCCATAGTCACCCCTTGCCCCCTTCCTTCTGTTTCTTAGGGGCATTCCCTACTTGAGCAAGCACCGGGCTGGTCGCATGGAGCGCCTGGGAGACTTACTGAACTTGGAGAGCTTTGACCTGGCTCTGCTGGAGGAGGTGGGGGTGGTGCGGTGCTGCTGTGGATCCCAGGCTGGGAGGAGGGCGCGGAGTGGGCGAGAAGGATGCGGGAGGAGGACTGTGGAGAAGCTCCCCGCGGGGAAAGGCTAGGCTGCATCCCCGCCCTTCCTTCAGGTGTGGAGTGAGCAGGACTTCCAGTACCTGAGACAGAAGTTGTCTCTCACTTACCCAGCTGCACACTACTTCCGGAGGTGAGCCGCCTACAGGCCTGAGCCTGTTCCAGAAGGGCTCTTGGTCTTTCTCTCCCTATCCTGCGCACTGCACCCTCCTTCTTCTTCCTCTGGGTTTGAAGCAGGAAGATTCCTCCCTCACTGCTTGGTCCCTCATCCTCCTACAAAAGCTGTTCTGATGTTTGTTTTGGGTTCCAGCAATAGAGAGAAAAGTTGCTGATTAAACTAGAGACAAGGGAAAAGAGGACTGGGTATTTTTCTCCTCGATTGCCTAGTTTATTGAGCCAGGTTTGGCTTTCAGTGGGATCATTGGCAGCGGCCTGTGTGTCTTCTCCAAACACCCAATCCAGGAAATCACCCAGCATGTCTACACCCTCAACGGCTACCCCTACATGGTAAGTCTCCCCCACCCCACTCCACCCCAACTAAAACAAAGCACAGGAGGCAGCACAGGGACTGGGCAGAAGAGTGGCAGTGCTGAGTGAGGTGTCTTCCTCCTACCTGCAGATCCATCACGGTGACTGGTTCTGTGGGAAGGCCGTGGGGCTGCTGGTGCTCCATATCAATGGACTGGTGCTCAATGCCTATGTGACCCATGTAAGTGAAGCCAGTGGTATTCAAGGGCTGGGACCCACAGCTGCTGCTGTCTGGGGGTCAGGTGTGGGGTCAGGATGTCCTAAGGTAGCAGTGGGCAAGTTTTGCCATTCTGTACAAACACCATGCCAGGTGACTGACCCACCCTGATTTAGACAGGACCCTGGAGGCTATAATTCCATCTGTCTCACTTAGCTCCATGCAGAGTACAGTCGAGAGAAGGACATCTACCTAGCACATCGTGTGGCTCAAGCTTGGGAACTGGCCCAGTTCATCCAGTGTGTGAGCCTGGGCTTGATGGGAAGTGGGAAGGGACCCAGGGGCTGAGGGGTGGTCAAGGCTCCACTTAGAGGGCACAATTCCTTCCTCACCAACCTGGCTCCCCCAGTCACACATCCAAGAAGGCAGATGTGGTTCTATTGTGTGGGGACCTCAACATGCATCCAAAAGACTTGGGCTGCTGCCTGCTGAAGGAATGGACGGGGCTGCATGATGCCTACCTTGAGACTCAGGACTATAAGGTGAGAACGTGCCTGCCTGTTTCCCACTTCCACTTCTCTCCCTCTTCTTCCTCCCACATCTTGGGATGCCCAGAGCTTTCTAGCCACCTGTTTCTTCTAGGGCTCTGAAGAAGGCTGTACTATGGTGCCCAAGAACTGTTATGTCAGCCAGCAGGACCTAGGCCCATTTCCCTGTGGCATCCGTATTGACTACGTGCTCTACAAGGTCAGGTCTTTCCCCTAACATGTGTTTCTTGGCATCAGCCTGTGCACATCTATTGTTTGGCTCAGCTGGTCTTGGGCAGCTGATAAATCGAGAGTGTGGGATGCTGGGAGCTGGTTATTTGGAAGAAGGCCTTCCAATAGGAGCTTTTCTCTGCCTTTTTTCCTTGCCTAGGTGGTTTCTGGGTTCTGCATCTCCTGTAAGACTCTCCAAACCACTACAGGCCATGACCCTCACAGTAGCACTCCACTTTCTGATCATGAGGCCCTCATGGCTACTCTATATGTGAGGCACAGCCCCCCTCAGCAAAACCCCACCCCTACCCAAGGTGAGTCATCTCTACCCTTTCCCTTTATCCTTCTCTTCCTCAAGGCAGCTCCTTTACTGTATGAACCTTTTCTGCTTCACTGTTCTGTCTTGTTCCAGGACCAGCAGAGAGGTTGCCATTGATCAACCTGCTGAAGGAGGCCTGGACAGAGTTGGGGATTGGCATAGCTCAAGCTCGCTGGTGGGCCACATTTGCTGGCTATGTGATTGGTCTGGGGCTGCTTGTCCTGACGTTGCTGAGTGTCCTGGTGGCAGGAGAAGTGACCAGTGAAGTGGCTGTACTACTCTGGACCCCCAGTGTAGGACTGATATTAGGGGCTGGCGCAGTCTACCTCTTCCACATGCAGGAGGCCAAAGGTTTATGTCGGGCCCAGGCTGAACTCCAGCATGTGTTGGGAAGAGCAAAGAAGACCCAGGAATTGGGCTTAGAGTCTCAAGTAGCTGAGCTACTGGGGCAGCAAGCAGAGAACAGAGTTGAACAATAAAGTGTAGCACTTTAGTGGCTTTGCTTTTTTATCCTGTCCAGGCATCGTGGGGAGCACAGGTCAAGTGGTTATCACAATGGAGGACTCTGCACATCTGCTGTCCCTGCACATCCCTACCACCCACCTTTATGCATCCTAAATTCCATGTGTGGTAGGAACCTTTCTTTTTTTTTTTTTTAATGGCATGAGGGTTTGAACTCAGAGCCATGCAATTGCTCACTTGAGCTTTGCCTCCAGTTCTTTTTTATTTATTCAGCTCTTTTTTATTTTTCAGATAGGGTCTTGGCATTTTTTTTTCCACTCCAGTGTCAGACTGAAGATCCTTCTATCTATTCCAGATAGCTGGAATTACAGCTATATACCAACCACTATGTATGGCTTGTTTGTTTAGATGGGAGTCTTGGTAACTTTCTTTAATCTGGGTTAGACCCAAAGCATAATCTTCCCTAATGGCCAATTCCCAGGTTGCTGGGATTATAAGCATGAGCCACTGTCCCCAACTTGTGACAGAAGCATTTTATTATAAACAGTAAGGGCTCCTCCAAGGCAGTCCAGATGAGTAAGAAGTGGTGACACTGTCCTATGAAGAGATTGCTTTGCTTGCAGGCAGCCAACAGTCTTCTAGCCCTGGATCGCTGCCCCCGATACCAGCTCACTGAGCCGGCGCTCTTCCTGGAAGCGAATGAGAGCATCCCGCTGGTTTACCACGTCCAACAGCTTCCTCAGAACCTGGTCCTCAGCCTGCCGATCAGCATCTGTCTTCAGAGTTTCTGAAAGGAGAAAATGAAGTTAAGAGAACAGGGTTCTAGGCTGGAAGATCAACGTAATCCCAGTCGGTGTTTTTATTAACCCAGGCTTTACTAACTTGCAAAATTAAGATCTATTGACCCTAGAGGTTTTCTAGCATTAGTTGGCAACCACACTATTTTTGAAGGCAATCTTGTAGCAAAGCCTAATAGCACAGGTCTGACTGAATTTGAATGGAGAGTGGGGGTTTCAAAGCCCCACCTTCTGGTTTCCGCCTGAATTTCCTCAGGTACAATAGATCAGAGGACCATATTGCACAAGGTCAGGAAGCCACTTGCCTACCTTCTCGGTTCATGTAGCATCGCAGCTCCTGGTCCAGGTGCCGTTGCTTCTCCTCCAGGTCCAGCTCCTGCACCCTGTGGAGGTGAGTGAGTGAAGAGGCGCAGCTCTGCAGGGTGCCCACAAGACTGGGGCCCTGCTCATTACCACTGTCACCATCTTGGTATCTTACGTGATCATGAGCTCAGCCTCCTCAGCCACCAGGCTGTTTTTCCTCTGCACAAGCTGTAGCAGCTGTTCTACCCAGAATTTCTTTTGCTGCTCTGGGGAGCCTAGTAAGAAGGAAGAGGAGCAGAAGTGGTTATAAAACCTAAAGCTGGGGTCATGGGATCATAGCTTGAGGGACAGGATCCAGAAAAAGGTGGGTGTCAGAGCTGTATGGCCCAACTATTGAGCCTACTCTAGGCCACAGTGTGGTGGAATTTCAAGGGGCTGAACACAGTGTCAGGAGCCCCATTGCTTATCCCTCCCCCATCTCTACTTACTGTCCTGGCTCCTCAAGGCCAGCTCCAGCTTTATGCCCTCAGCTTCCAATTCCCTCAGGGCAGCCTCAATCTCATTTAGTCGCCGCTGAATGGCCTGAAAAGTACAAGACAGAAAGCCCAGAAATCTGAAGGAGCTCTGACCTCAGATTCAGCACTGTGACCCGATTAAAAGGCCTACCCCTGGGCCTCACCTGGGCCTTGCAGAACTTCTTCATTTCTTCCTCCTTAGCACGGCGCAATAGAGTCCGGCGCCATGTTGGGTACTTCTTCATGGTGCCAGAGTTCTTGACCAATGTCAGCAGAGCCTATGGGAGGGTTGGGCCAGTCATGGCTAGGGCCTAGACCTTGGTAGGTAGGAATGGGGGAAGCTGTTTGAAAGGGCAAAAAAGAACCTGGGCTGGAAGTGTGGGTTTGCTCTGATAAAGAAGATGAAGGCTTAAAGGCTTAGGCAAGAGGGAAGTAATACTGATGGGACTTCCAAGAAGGAGACTCAAAAGAGAATGTGAGCTTTAGTTCTCTAGAAATGGGGATGGAGAGTATCTGCTGGATGCCTGCTGGCTTGATAGGGTAGCTGGTCAGATTCTTTCTACTTACCTGTTCCAAGTTTGTGTCAAAAGGTACATCCTCCTCCTCCTCCTCCTCTTCCTGTTCATCCTCATCATTGGAAGATAGTCTCTCTTCCTCCTCATCCATGGCTTCAGCACCTGAGCAGACCAGAAGGAGACATGGCTTGGAGGTCCCAAATCTCCCTTTCTATTCCTTCACAGGAAACCCAAGACTGCCATCCCACCACCACACCAAGCCTGCACATCTGTGCAAAGAACAGTTACCTTGTGGTACCTGGACTGACATACCCCAGCCTACAAAACTGCTCTGAAGGGCCTTCTGGGCCAAGGCTAAGCAGCTGCGTGGGGGTTTGGGTGGAGGCTCTGTTTCTGGGTCAGGAGTAATGTTAAGGGAGGCCAGCTGCAGACGCTCTGGGCTGGAGAGGCGAATCCTCCTACGTGTGGGCTGCTTGGGGCTTGAAACAGGAAGGGCTGGCGATGTGCTATCCTCCTCTGGTGTGGAAAGCTTCTGAAGAAGACACCATGTGGTCTGGTTAGGGACTCGCCCTGTGTGGAGTCAAGGCCACCCCTTTAGAGCCCATGTAGGCTCTGGCATCCATTCACTAAACACCATGTAGTGCACACTGTGCTGGATACAGCATTCACCTACCCCGACTGCTGGCAAAGTCTACTTGGCTGGAATTTCCTTTCTGTGCCACACACACACACACACACACACACACACACACACACACACACACACACACACACACACACACACACACACACACACACACACACACACACACACACACAGTTTTTACTGGGCTTTTAGGTCCCCCGTCGATTTCGTCAATTTCATCCTCTTTGTGGCCCGGCAGGTGCTGCAGGCAGTAGAAATGTCCTGGGAAGGGGCAGTGGTGTACAGGAGGCATCAGGTATAGGTAGCCCAATGCCAAGGCAGAATTTTTACCAGGGATGAGGCCACAGGACAATGGACTTGTAGCTGAACTGTTACCAGATTCTTTGTTCCTTAGGATCCCACATTTAGAGCTTTGAGGGGACAGGAAAGTCTTCAAGCTCAAGAGAAGTGCTATCTCAGGCTCCCACTTGTTCCTCACCCCCAAATTCTTTGCTCCCTCCCCACATCAGAGCCAGGCCCAAAGTCCCACTAGTAATCTCCCAAGCCCACTCACCATCTGGATGCTGCCCATAGCCACCTGGCCACAAGGTGGCTTCACAGACGTGGCAGCAGAAGCAGCTTCGGTGGAAGAAATGGCCATCTGCACAGAAGCGTTCCAGGATGTAGAGGTGTTTCCCACAGAGTGCACACAGGTCTCCAGCACCAGACTGCACAGACCCCCCCCAAGACACAGAGTCAGCTGGAGCCTAGGGCAGTCCCAGGGATAATCCCCTGGAACCTTCCTTCCCTGTGCTCCCCAGGCCTCAGCCTACAGAGTGGACCCTGGTTCTTACTTCCTGGTGTTGGGATGGGGGAGTCAGAGGTACGCTGGGCTCAGGCACATGTGGTTCTTCAGTATTTGGAGACTCTGCCTCTACCTAAGGAGGTAAGTGCTCAGGCAGGGTCAGCCAGGAAGTGAGAGTGCAGATACACAGAAAGGACTGAAGGGAGAAGGGAGTAAGACTAGGCCGGGAGAAGGATGGAAGGCCATAGAACCTGGGGTAGAGGAATAGAAGAAGAGGTGACAGCACGGGGGAGGAGACCATCTGTCTTGTCTGTTCTCACCTGCAAACGAGGCTTCTTGCCACCAGCATCCTCCCCATTTTCCTGCAACAAATCTCAGAGCTGTGAGCCCAAGGCTCTGGCCCACCGCCCTCCCCTTGCCCCCGGTGGGATGTCTTCACCATCACCCTTACTGGGTACCCCAGCCTCAGTTGACTCCTACCTTGGCCCGGGTCCGCTGTAAGGTCCTCTGAAGTTTGCCAAGGAAGAGGACAGCATTGGAGGCCCCTGGACAGACTTGTCTGACAGGACCTGTAGGCAGTCAAGATGATGGAGTGGATGAAGGGGTCATATGTGGCCCTCAGGGACCATCCCAGGCAAGCCCTCTGAGGCTGCCTCTACTCCAGTCCTTCTTGCAGATACCCACCCAACCTAACCTACTCATCTACCCTCCTGCTCACCTGGGCTGCGGTCCATGCTTTTGAAGGCACTGTGGAAATGGCTGAGATAGGCGATGAGGCCCAGCGGGTCACTGCCTGCCACCACTGCCTGTGCAGACAACACTGGTGCAATGCCCAGCTCATGCTCTGCCACCCTCAGTGCCCAGGTGGTCACTTCCACAGCTCCCATCCCCTGCAGCTCTGAGGGTTCCCTGTGGGGTATTCAGGAGAGAAGACAATAGGAAACAAGAACTGGCCCAAGGAGGAGGAGGAGTTAAAGCCATCAGAGGCAGAGACAGCAGGGAGGGGCTGGGGGGCCATGGGGGGAGAGAGGAGGGCATAAAGGTTTGTTCTCTCTGCTGCATCTTCACCCCATTGAGAACACTTTCTCTGACATTGGGGCCCTCTGCCACTCACAACGTCTTTCCCAAGCTGTGTGCACTGGGCAGGAGGCAGTCAGGCAGTGGAAAGTGGAGCTGGGTGTCTTGGGCATCCTACACGGGCATGTCCATTACCATGTGGTAGAGGGAGGAGCAGGGGCAGTGACCCACTAGGTGTATGATTTGCTGGGGGACCCTTTGCTACTCCCCAACTCACAGCAGTCCAGGCTGGAGGCGGTGGACCAGGGCACAGAGAGCTAGCCCATCAGTCCAGGAAGAAGACAAGTCAGTGACATGGACTCCTGGGTACCCAGCTGTTTGCTCCTGGCACCAGTGTAAGAGCTCTTCCTGGGTGCCTGCTGACCCTAGAAAGAAAGGCTGTGCTGTTCCCAAGCCCCCCTTCTGCCCTTCACCTTCCGCATGGAGTGTGGACCTCTGTGGAGGAATGAGGCAGGGACCCACTCACCCTGGGGCACCAGCTAACGCTCACTGCCTACAGTATCTCCTTCCTCACTCAATTCAGGATCTTCCTTCTCTGGAGGTCCCCACGTTGCCCCACCAAACCAACATTCCAGTGTGCTACTCTGTCATGGCCTCCACCTGTGTGTGGCTGGTTACGTAGTTTGTATATCCCTGGAGAAGCCTGCCCACCTGTGGCCGACACCTCTGCATCTGTCTTGTCGCTCTTCTTCTGCACCTGCTCCTTGGCCATCACATCATACAGGTCTCGTACCTACAGCAACCTCAGTCTCAAAGCAGCTGATCACACAGCCCCCTGGACCATGAGGGAGGGGCCCACCTGTGGTAGGACTGGCCCCCAGGGGCAGTGATTGGGGAGGGAAGGCCTGGCCTGGAGAAAGGGGCTGACTTGGGAAGCCTAGTGGAATCCTGGGGGGAGAGGAGGAGAGAGGAGAGAGGAGTCTGACCTGATTGGGGGTCACAGCCCGGAGGTTCAGGTTGGGGTATCGAGTGGCTGGGTCCAGCCCATATTGGGTCACATTGCGGTGCATGTTTTCTGGGGATGTCTGTGACAGAAGCTGGTACAGGCTTTCGCTGAGAGGGTGATGGTGGCGGGCAGGAGCACAATGGGAGGGTATCTGTTAGCACCCATTCCTCAAGAGCTGCCAGACCTTTTCTTGTACTTTGTGTTTCCCCTATTCCCCCTGCCCCCTCTTCCTGACCCTTGTGCCAAGTCCTGCACTAGTTCCCCAATTCAGGCCTCACCGTTCAGCCAACACCTCTAGGGGCTCAGTGCCCTCTGCCCACCGCTTCACCATCCAGGCTGCATCGAAGGCTGCCAGGAAGCCTCGGGCCACTCCAGTGCCCAGGGGCCAGAAGGGCTATAGAGTCAAAGGACAGGAAAGAGACAATAGGAATCCAGTGGGAGCAACCACACCCAAATGATGCAAGGTTATAGTGGGGAAGAAAGGGAAGATCCTTTCATCACACCAAGCAGCTGCCACCTCCTCCATGCAGCCCTTAGCTCCTCCCCTCAACAAGCCAGCAGTTTCTCCCCCCACCATGAGTGCCTCTTGGAACTCTCACCTCCACCAGGCAGTCCCCCACCAGTCCCAGCAGCAGGCGGGCTCCATGCTTCTCTTGCACACGAGCAGAACTGTCTGCCCGCATCATACTTGTGAAGTCAAAAGCAGACACATCAGGCCGCCCACGGGCATCTTGTGCAAACTCGAGTTTCCCGAGCTTGCCGTGTGTGGCGAAGTCAGCAGCTGCCCTGGCAAAGCGCTGCAGAGCCTCGGGTACCACATTGGCACTTTCTAGCAGTCGATCCGTCTCTGGCCAGTCCTACAGAGCAGAACCTTTGAGACTTCTGAGAATAGGATCCCAAGGGCCAGCCCTATTCCCTTGGGTGCAGAAGTCATACATACAACGGCCCAGAGAAGAGGGAAATGCTCAGCTGCACATTCATGAGGCCCAGCCCAGCTTTCAACTGTTGATTAGCCAGACTCAGCAGCAGTTGGAAGCTGACCTGGGAATAGAATTCCCAGAGCCTGCCTCCCATGTTCAAGCCCCTCCCTTAGCACGCATCCTCAGACCATGCTCTCTGCCCATGAAGCTCTGTCTCACTGCTGTCATACACTTGAGGCCTGCTCAGAGCCTCAGTCTGTCTATCATTTGGAGACCATATACTTAACTTACTGGGTACTCATAAAAATTGTATCAGAAGGGGCTAGGAAGGTGGCTCAGTGGTAGAGCGCTTGCCTTGCATGCCTGAGGCCCTGGGTTCCATTCCTCAGCACCACATAAGCAAAAAGAAAAAAGCTGGAAGTGGCGCTGTGGCTCAAGTGGTAAAGCGCTAGCCTTGAGCTGAAGAGCTGAGGGACAGCGCCCAGGCCCAGAGTTCAGGCCCCACGACCGGACCCCAAAAAAAAATTGTATCAGAAAATGCAAATTAATCTTCAGTAAAGCACTTAACACATTGTAGGCACACAAGTAGCTCATTCACATTCACCAAATACATGTTAGGTACTTTAGGAAACATTCCATGCACTGGGAATTAACATGAAGCAAGAGACAATGCAACAAAAATCCCTACTCTCGTCAAGTTCATATCTGTAGAACTGTTTAGCCCAGAATATTACTCCTCTGCCATGTAAACTGCAGGGACAGGGCTTGCAGAGGTGTTGTTAATGCTAGGACAGAGGCTGGAGGGGAAGGGGGGGGTCCAATCCAGCCTCTCTCTGCTTGGGCCCTGATCCTACCTGGCGCAGCACCCCTAGCCTCAGCAGACACTGCTTCTTGGCTGTCATCACAAAGTAATGGGTGTCATCCTTGTAGTATACAATGTTCTCCAGATCAATGCCTGGGGAGACAAGACAGGGGACAGGAGTTGAGTCCTCTCCTGATGATATATCCACTTTTCAAACACTCCAGCCAAAGCTGACCAGGGAGAGCTAGAATCACAGCTTAGGCTGAAGTGACTTCCATGCACAGAGCCCCTGATTCCTAGTGACACAAAGGACCATCTGCCCTGGTCCAGGAGGCCTGCTGGCTTGTAACCAAGAGGGAAACTCAGATGAGGTAGCAGCTGGGAGACGAGTACTACATGGTCACATGGCAGTGTGAAGCTTAAGTAAACAGAGCATGCTCTTGAAGTTCACTTCTGTTTTCAACTTAAGTCATCTTTTATGGAGCACAAAGCAAACACCCAGACATTTTATATGAGATTCCAGTAATTTTCCTGCCAAGTGGGACTGTGACTGCTTAGTCACTGGAGGGGACAGTCTTTCTCCTTTGCTGTCAGGAGACAAGAGGACAAGTGTGGAATTTCTTGAACTAAGGACAGGTTTCAGAGGGAGACGGGTGCCTGACCTGTGGCTTTGAGCAGGCTCTGAAAGAATTTCTGGTTGTAGATCCGAGCCACACCGCTGATCTCCGGTACCTGTGTCTCTTCCACAGTACGCCCATTCACAAAGTTGGCCGTGATGCCAATGGCCAGTTTGCCACGCATTTCTCGAACTGTGAAACCTAGTGGTAGGAACAGATGGGTATGGCAGGAGGACCAGGAGTATAATTTTCTAGAAAGGTCCAGGAGGAGCCCAAAACACTGCTTTTTTTTTTTTTCAGGAGTGGGGGAGGGAAGTGATCACTCACCTTCAGGGACAAACTTCCCTCCTGCAGCCGAGATGAGGACATCAAATTCATAGTTGGCCAGTTGGGCTGGAGGACTGGGCTGCAGCTGGGCACGCCAGCCACTCCCTGGGGCGGAGAGTATGAGAGGCACAGAGTACAGCAGTCAGTGAGGATCTACACTCCAGTCAAGCTAAAGAAAACACGTAATGTATAAAGTACTCAGTCATACCTTCCTAGGAGCCAAAAAGGAAGATAAGGAACTCAATTCTCCTATTTCCTTTTCTTTTTTTCTTTCTTTTTTTGGGGGGAGGGGTGGGTCGTGGGGCTTGAACTCTGGGCTTGGGCGTTCAAAGTGAGTGCTCTACAGCTTGAGCCACAGCACCACTTCTGGTTTTCTAGTGGTTTATTGGAGATAAGAGTCTCATGGACTTTCCTGCCCGGGCTGGCTTTGAACCTTGATCCTCGGTTCTCAGCCTCCAGAGTAGCTAGGATTACAGGCATGAGCCACCGGTACCTGACTACTTCTATTTTCTAATGTTCCTATTTTGCTATTTCCATTTCCATGTTCACTGCAGCTGAGAGGGTTGCCCAGGCCTCACTATTAGACTCAGCTGACTCCCACACCCACCCCTTTTATCTCCTGGCCAAGATCTCCTTAGTGGGTGGAGGTTCCCAAGAGCAAAGAAGTACTTACTCTTTCTTGGAGGAGGCTGGAGGCCAGTAAAAGTGACACCCCAGTGAATTTCCACCCCCAGCAGTAATGCTACCTTCAGTAGGAGCAGCTGAAGCTGTCGGATGCCTGGAAAGGGGAGGACATAGAAACAGGGACTCAGGACTGGCCAGCTTCCCCTACTTCTGGTGTATGCCAAGCCAGAGCTGGAGGTAATCTGAGTGCTCATTCTGTCCAACTACATCTGGATTCATGCACCAACCAATGTCTTCAACTCACTGGGCTAAAGTGAATCTTGTTCATCCTGCCTCTTGGCTTGTCCAGCAGCTCCCTCCTCCCCCTGCCACTGGCCACCATGTGGTACTCACTGATGTGGTCCAGAGTGCCAGTGCAGAAGCGCCCGTAGAATTTCTTGGCACCAAGTGCCCGAAGGTCATGGATGGTGAAGGGCCAGAGGTGGAGCACGTTGTGGCGAGAGAACTTGGTACGCTTTTCTACCAGTACTACGCGGGCCCCCAGCAGTGCCAGCTCCACAGCTGCCCGCAGCCCACAAGGTCCAGCACCTACCACCAGGCACTGCAAACACACAGGGCAGAGTGGGCATGACATCCTTTCTCCCTCCTCCAACTCCCCGCACTGCCCATGCCCTTCCAAGATCTCCTGTAACTACCTTGGTGCTGGCACAGGACTGGCCCTGCTCGTAGACAGGCTGGCTGGCTCTCTTGTCCAACTTGGCCCATAGTGACTTGGCACTCCAATAGTTGAGCTGAGCTTTGATCTTGTAGTACTGAGGTAGTCCCCCACCAGGCTCCAGCCCCAGAGCCCCACAGAGTCCCTGAAAACTGCTCAGCACATCCTGGCACAGCTGGGCCTGCAGGAAACTCTCAAAGTGGGCATGTGCTGGGTTGGTAGAGGTGGGTGAAGCCATTGGAGGCCCCCCTAGGGCTCCTGGGAAGTGAAGCAGCTGGGCAGAGAGAGCCTAGTGGCTGCTGGGAGAGAAAGAGGGAAGAAGAGATAAGGAGGAGACTGGGAGTAGGGGGAGGAGGAAGGGGAAGAGAGAGGCGGCTACTGCCCCCAGCGAGTTCTGGGCCCACCTCTGATTGGCTTTTCTGCTCCCAGTCCACTCCTCTTCCAGAATCAGCTCTGAAGATGGCGGCTATCACTTTCTCAAGTGAAAAAATTAAATCACCAAATTTGGAAATAAAAATTCAGGAAGAAACCAGGGCCAGTCTCCAGCTTGGTCTGGCTGTCCAAGGATTGCCAAGGAGTGAGGGACCCTCGGATTAGGAGTGCCAAGCATAGGGGGCCTGCCTTCTTTGGGCCCTGAAAGCAGCGCTTGGGGGAGTTCTCAGAGGTATAGAGGGCAGGCTGCCAGGAAGGTTTCCTTTCCTGTAGAAAGCAAGAGAGCTCCTGTCGGAAACCGCAGCTGCTAGACATATGTACCGCCCCATCTCACCCCAGCTTCTGTGTGCCACGCCCCTTGATGGCCTCAGCCCCACGCTGGGTATGGGATGTGTCTGGTGTCAAGGGCAAAGATTCCTCCTGGGTACTGGTGCTTGCCTCTTTGACAGCCTTGCGCAGGTTTCTCCTCCAAAGCAACCAGAGGATGTTGCCACTGACTATGTGACAGAGGCCTGACTGTTATTTCTGACTCAGTGTGGTTAAAAAAAAAAAAATCACTTCCTCTAAGATCTGGTCGCTGCTTCCATGGGCCATAGGGGGGAGAGGAGGAGACAGGAGTAGCTGGGCTGGCCCCCCGGAGTCCTTACACCCCAATCCTCACTGCCCCGTTCCTTGTGCGCTGGTGCGCCCCCTCTCCCAGGAATCTCGCCAGACAAGGCGTTCCTTTGTCCCCTCTCCTCCTCTCTGGCCCAGACGAAGTGGGGGCGGGGGGTGGGGGGGAAGAGAAGGGTGTTGTAGAGACTTTCTCACGCTGGGGCTGGAAGGACTGAGAAGGTCTGGGGGATGGGGTTGCCCAGGGGGAGTTAGGGAGGGTGGGCGAGGCATTGGGGGCGGGTCCCTCGGGCTGAGCCCTCACCCCCAGCTGGCCCTCCGTTGCCAGTCTCCCAGGAGAAGGCTAAAGTTGCCCACGGCGAGTGACCAGGACGAAGGTGGACAGAACCTCAGACAGAATCCTACTGTCTTGGGAGTAGGAGTCTTGGGTTGGGGTGTGGGGGAGTCTTTCACGACGGGGGACAAAGACGAGCCCCCGGGTAGAATGCCAGAACAAAGGACGTGCCACGAGTGCAGCGGGCTGAAGGGATGGGTAGCCGCATCGGGGGCGGTGGGAGCAGGGGACGCCAACACTCGGGACCGTGCAGTCCGGAGAGGGGCTGCGCAGGGCAGGCGTGGGGACCCGCGGCTGCCTTTCCCTGGAAGCGCTCCCCACTCCCACCCCGGGCCGGGCCGGCAGGGAAGCGCACCGCGGGCGCCGCGGCACCACTTACCGCGCGGCTGTGCGGCCGGAAGGGCGTCCCGGGACCCGGGGGCGGAGGAAGGAGTGGCGGCGCGGGTGCGAAGGGCGAGCGCCGGGCGATCCTGCCCGGGAGTCCCGCGGGGTGGGGCTGCGACACGCGGACCCCGAGCCCCTGGGAGGCTTTATCTGAACCTCATTAGCATCTCATTATCCCGCCCCCCCCCCAGCTCGACACAGTCCCGGCCCGCCCCTTTCTGCAGGGTGACGCCCAAGGGCGCGGCTCTGAGAGCCCCGGGGTCCGTCCCGGGGCCTGCCGAGTGAGTCCGGCCTAAGGAGGCCGCGGGTCCTGAGTAGCCGGGGCACCCCGTATCTGATCGCGCACCCGCGGGCGAGGCGGGGACCCCCAGCACCTCGCCGTACCAACTCTGCTGCCAGCGGGCGCGCGCTCGGGCGCGCACAGGAGTTTCTTGAAACTGGTGGGTCCGAGAGCGTGGCGCAGGACTGTCCGGACTGTCCTCACCTCGCCCCCATCCCGGGTGCCCCCTGCAGGGTTACTGGGCCCGCCTTCCCACGGACCGGACTTCTAGGCTGGGGCTTGAGAGCCAGGTGTGCAGCTGCCTCCCCTGCGCAGGCCGAGGAAGGGAAGTGGGGTGGAGCCGGGGTTAGACTATTGCGAGGAAAGGCGGGATGGGAGGTTGTGTGTGGGAAAGAGGCTTCATCCTCAATGTTCCCGTGTTCCAGAACCAATTAGAACCAGGACCCACGAAACTGTCCAAGCTGAGGTCCTCTCAGATCCCCTTCTTCACGTTTCCCACGAGGAAACCGCAATCCAGAGCCCTGTCCACGGCAGCTGGTTAATATTAATGAAACATCAGCGCTAGTTTGTCGAAAGTCACACTATGAATATTATCTTAACGTCCGTGTTTACAACCGTCCTGTTTAACTGCAAGGAAACTGAAGGCCACAGAGACAGCATGACCTACACAGGTTACACAGCACACGTGACTGATTCAACTTGAGTAAGGGAAGGACTGGCATAAGAGCGGTTTCTGGCTCAGAGGAAGTAACAGGGCTACCAAGGAATAAAGGCAGGGGCACCCTCCTTGAGAACTGGGACCAGAAAGGGCAGGGCCCTATGCCTCTCCTTTATGTTTTCTTCTCACTTTGCATTTTGCCCAGAGACCCTGGGAGATGAAGACCTGAACAACTCAGTCTGGTGTTGAGAAGCAGGCTAGGAGGGAAATTAGGAGGAAATGCCAGGAGAGGCCCAGCAATTCATCCAGGCTGGCTAGGAAAACTAGGGCAGTCTCCCAACGGAGCTCATTCTAGCTCTTGAGTGTGACAAATCATTTGGCTTTGAAAGGAATTTACCAAATATCAGACACACCCATATTTTTTATATGTAGTAAAATGGTTCAGTTTATGTGGCTACTAAAGGAAACAACTAAAAACATGAGGATAAAAATAACCTGAACTGCTCAATTTCTATTTTTGGCTTTAAAATATATTTTAAACATGTTAACTTAGTAGTGACATTCCAAAAAGGACAGTATTCTTTACCTTTTGTAATTGCAACCCTCTGTACATCACCTTTATATAACTTCTTTTTTTGTTGTTGTTGGTCATGGGGCTTGAACTCTGGGCTTCGGTGCTGTCCCTGAGGTTTTCAGCTCAAGACTAGTGCTCTATCACTTGAGCATCACTTCCAGTTTTCTGGTGCTTAATTGGAGATAAGAATCTGGTGGACTTTCCTGCCAGGACTGGCTTTGAACCACGATCCTCAGATCTCAGCCTCCTGAGTAGCTAGGATTACAGGCGTGAGCCACCAGCGCCCGGCTCAGCTTAGAAATTTTTAAAACTTAAAATAGTTGCACAAATTAACCTGTCCATTTATGCGTCCATAGTGCTTCTTGTTCAGAGTCAGAGTCACCCTTCCCATCATTCTCTTCCATTTCTTTGCCTCTTCCTCCAGACTTACATTTCCCACTTTTTTTATTTTACCAGTCCTGGGGCTTGAGCTCTGGGCCTAAGCACTGTCCCTGAGCTTCTTTTGCTCAAAGTGAGCACTCTACCACTTGAATCACATCACCACTTCCAGCTTTTTCGAGTAGTTATTTTGGTCTCATGGAATTTCCTGCCTAAGCTGGTTCCGAACCACAACCCTAAGAGCTCAGCCTCCTGAATATCTAGGATTACAGGTTGTTTCCCACTTCATTACCCTAAATGTACTTGGAGAATTATGACTATATTTAGACACCCCCATATTTAAAAACAGTGCAAAAATGCTATAAAGTCCACAATATGTGGGTCACCAGACTTTCAAAACTATCCCATTCCCTTTCTTTAGCAGATGACAAGTAGCTTCTCCAACTTAATAAACAGCACTTGTTTACAAAGGCTTGGCAGAATTGGGCCTGACTTTCAGTTGCAACAAAACAGGATTGTGTGGCTTTCTGAACAACAAATAGTAAAACTTTTTATTTTTAGAAAGACCATAGAACAATAATGAATTCAGTGATGCTAACAAAAAATAAAACAAAAACATGCTGACTTGGAGCTTTTTATGTTAATTACAGACATACACTGCAGCTTAAAGCTAGGGGGAATAGGTTGGTCTGGAATCCAGAAAGTCTGGTTGGATTCCAGCTGTGCTCATACTAGTGACCCTGGAAGCTTCCAAAAGTTACACATCAATCTTCTCATCTCTAAATGCAGGCAGGCAGTGATTCAACTTCCTCAGAACATTTCAGTTTTGAGCCTATTATTCATTAGGCTGCTGGCCTTAAAAAATGTACAAGCTAGAAAACTCAAAACAATTACCTCAAAAGAAGAAAAATGACCTCTATTAAAGGTAAAAGAGTTTATTATTTGTCCACAAGAGTTCTCTTAGTCTTGAATCATGATCCACATTAAATACTTCTGTGAGACTAAAAATATACTGGTGGTGAGTTACATTGGCTAGTTTATGTTAGATCAAATAAGTAGCTCATATTATAATTTTTCTTAAAGAATCCTATATAAAAGATTGTAAAAGTGGCTTGATTAAGATTAGAGAGTCAGAGAAGACCTGTCCTAATTCTGATGGATAGTAGTGATGAGTCAGACAGTGGGGACAGACTACTTTAAGACTGAAAACCACCTTCCCCTTGAGCCTTCTGGCAGTAAAGGACTTAGTGTGGTGTGTTGGGCAATAACCTAGAGGGCCATGTGGCTGGAAGTGAGATTGGGGAAGAAGAAGAGATTGGGGTTAGGGATTTTATAGTAGGTATGGCAGGAAATTGCAGGAACTTTCAAGCCAAGTAAGGACATGTTCATATCTGCTTTGATAAATAGTGCAAAGGTATCATTAGCAAGGCATTCTTTATGATGCTAAAGGACAAAGGTTAAATCTCAGGCTAAGAGACTGTGTACAGTAAGGATGGTGGATGGACTAGAGTCAAAAGAGATTTTGAGAAATCAACTTGGTGATGGATTCCTAGTGTGGGGGACACAGGGCTAGTCATTCATACCTGTAATTCTAGTTACCAGGGGGCTGAGATCCCGAGGAACTTGGTTTGAAGCTAGCCCAGGCAGGAAAATCCATGGGATTATTATCTCCAGTTAACCACTAAAAAGGTGGAAGTGGAGCTGTACTCAAGTGGTAGAATGCTAATTTTTAGAAGAAAAAAAAACAAAAAAACAAAAAACACCAGTTGCAGCACTCAGGTCCTGAGCTCAATAAAGAAATAAATACTTCTGTTTTTCTCTCTTGGCTTAATGTGGGTGAGTCCCAAACTTGTACCATTACTTCTTTCCTACTTTCCCTTCCCAGCTGATCCCTCTGTATGTGGCTTTTTACTCAGTTCCTTTTCCATATGTCAAAACATGATTTTACAGACTCCAAAGTAAGGGACTCTATCCTGGAAGGCTGAAAAGGTTATATTTAAACACTTTCTCATAGTTTGGTATGTGATCTCTGTTGTTCTTTGAGTACAATTATAGGGAATACTTTTCTAAAAGGCACTTAATCCTACAAAACTTATCTAAGATTTTTTTTTTTTTGTCGGTCGTGGGGCTTGAACTCTGGGCCTGGGCGCTGTCCCTCAGCTCTTCAGCTCAAGGCGAACGCTCTGCCACTTGAGCTACAGCGCCACTTCCGGTTTTCTGGTGGTTTATTGGAGATAGGAGTCTCACGGTCTCTCCTGCCCGGGCTGGCTTTGAACCGCGATCCTCAGATCTCAGCCTCCTGCGTAGTTAGGATTACAGGCGTGAGCCACCAGCGCCTGGCTTATCTAAGATTTTTTAAATGTTATTTTGATTTTAATTCTAAGAAAGCTTTGGCTTAACACTTTACCTAACAGGATAAAAATTTGAACTAAAACCGAGAGCCAAGCTCTTCTTTTGGAATATCATCTACAAATTCATGAAGTGTCACATGACAGATAGTAAGATTTCAAAATAATAAACTCATACTTTAGGATGCAGGAAATTCTGTTCTACTTGTGCTCAAAGTTTCTCATTCCACACTTCATATTGCATATAACATCACTTTTCAGACTCACATAAAAAGTTATTTCTTGCTAGTGTTACCTAAATGTGAAAATTCCTACATTTCATGTTGAAATGAGGGGATGAGCTTTAATTTGAAAGTTCTAACGTGGCACATTTCAAATGAGAATGGCATATGTCCTATGTCCAAGTTACTCAAAGTTAACTTTGCTGCTTAATTAGTTGTAAAGAATTTGAAAGCAAGATAAAGTACAACAATGAGGGGATGGGAATGTGGCTCAGCAGTAGAGTGCTTGCTTAGTATGCTTGAAGCCCTGGGCTTGATTCCTCAGTATCATATAAACAGAAAAAGCCAGAAGTACAGCTGTGGCTAAAGAGGTAGAGTTCTAGTCTTGAGCACAGAAAGGCTAAGGGACAGTGCCCAGGCCCCGAGTTCAAGCCCCAGGACTGGCAGAATGAATACAAACAAACAACAAAAGAACTACAACAATGGCATCCCAGCTTTGTTTCTATGTTACTCCTTCCTTCTCACATGCTATGTACCAAGGCATACCAGAGGGAGTTTTTATTTTTAGGGTCATTCCTCTGGGGTTTCCTTTACTTTGTGAGGATTTGTCTTAAATTTGGAAACAAAAAGGATAAACACTTAGCTTTAATATGAAAAAAATCGTCCTAAGATTAAAATATCCTAACCAGGAACCCATGGTTCACACCTGTAATTCTAGGTACTCAGGAGGCTGAGATCTGAGGATTGCAGTTTGAAGCCAGCCTGGGCAGGAAAATCCATGAGACTCTAACCAGAAGTGGTGCTGTGGCTCAAAGTGGTAGAGTGCTAGCCTTGAACAAAAGAGCTCAGGAACAGCATCCAGGCCTTGAATTCAAGCCCCACAAATGATAAAAATAAAATATCCTCATTCCTTAAAAGACTTCACATAGAACTCCCCTATGACCAGCAATCCCACTTTTGGGCATTTACCCAAATGTTTACAAACAAGACCACACTAAAGCTACCAGCACAACTATGTTTATTGCAGCATTATTTACCATAGCTAAGATATGGAACCAACCCAGAAGCCTCCCAGTAGATGAATGGATCAAGAAAATGTGGTATATACACAGCGGAATTATATGCCTCCATCAGAAAGAATGACATTTCCCCATTTGTTAGGAAATGGAAAAACTTGGAAAAAATTATATTAAGTGAAGTAAGCCAAGCCCAAAGAAACATAGGTCCCATGGTTTCCCTTATTTGCAATATCTAGTATATGTATGAGTCAAGCGGAAAAGGTCAGATAATGTGATGTTAGGAAAATGAACCCTTAGATATGTATTTTAATGTTTTTTTTCTTTCATGCATGTGTTTCTAATGCATTTATAAGATTATCTCTTTGTTGCTTTGTATGTCCCTCCCCCACAGTATAACCCCTGCTTTCACTATATTTGATGTCAGTATAACTTGTGGAGATGGGGAAAAACCAGTCGTTTAAGGATACAGGTGGACCTGTTGCAACAATGAGAAGTACAAGTTGTCATGTCGAAAACGAGCTTTACAACGTGGGGGGGGGGGGTGGGAGGAGGGAAGGAGAAGGATTGGGATTGGGGGGGGAAGGGGGAGGCTGGGAAGGGATGTGAAGGGTAAACAAAGGAGGAAGCTGCAATGCTTGGTAAGAAATGTATGCATTATCCTGCCCATGTAATTGTAACCCCTCTGTACAGTATGTTCACAAATAAAATAAAATTAATTAAAAAAAATAAAATAAAATATCCTCAATAATTGTGAAAAGACATTTTTTAGCTTTGTAGTAACTTGTCATCATATGGCAAATTTTGATCAGTCTGTCAGTATTAGTGAGTACTAATGAGTACAATTAAAATGGTAATTAATTCATTTTTGTAGGAGACATTGTAATATCTGCTTGCTTTATGCACAATGTTTATATGCTCAACTTTCAGGGATAGCCATTTGGTGAAGAGCATAGTACCATCAGCAAAGCACATGCCCCAGTTCTGGCTGTGCCACTTGCATTATGGCCCTGGGAAAGACACAAACCTCTGTGAGCCTCGATGTTCTCATCTATAAAGTGGGTGTAATAACAATAGTACTTACCTCACAGGACTGTTATGAAGATTAGGTAAGCCTTCATTTAATGGGTTTTGTGTGCATAATAGTCATGGCTCTCTTACTACAAATGCAAATCTAAGGATTGCATTGTTTCCTCCTGCCCCAAATTCATGGTGAAACATAACACCAGCTGTATGATTTTTCAAGGACTTTAGGGGAAGCATTTTCATGTCCATTTTCTTTGGGTATACAACTGAGCTTTGAAAAAGAGATTTCACTCAAAGGACAGAACGTATAGCTGGGATGAAAGGGAGTGGGGCTATGCTAGAGGGGCAATGCTGTCACCTTTTGCTTCCCCTTTGACAGCTGGCCAGATAGCCTAGTTACAGCTCTATGTGGGACTGCATGGCACCCTACATAGGTAGGCCTGTGCTGCCTACTGAAGGAGACACTAGCCACTTATGGCTATGTGCACTTGCAATGTGGGCAGAGCAACAGAGGAACTGCATTTTAACTTCAACCAATTTTAGTAGGAAGTTAAATACTTGTTTCAGTTCTTGAAAAAAAGTCATGTTTGTGCTACTTGATAAGCAGATCTAAGTTTTCAACTGTAAATCATACAAAATCTACAGATCAACTACAGTCCAATCAATCTAAACAATCAAATGGAGATGGGAAAATTTTCAAAAATACCAACATTTAGGGATTTAATATGGGTGTAAAATATCTCAGTATTATTTTTATGTTAATTACATGTTGAATATTTAGCAAATATTCTACTAATATCATCTTTTTTGCACTTTTTTTTCTTTTCATTCTCTCTCTCGTTTTTTTTGTCAGTCATGGGGCTTGAACTCTAGGCCTGGGCACTGTCTCTGAGCTCTTCAGCTCAAGGCTAGTGTTCTACCACTTGAGCCACAGCACCACTTCTGGCTTTTTCTGTTTATGTGGTGCTAAGGAACTGAACCCAGGGCCTCATGCATGCAAGGCAAGCACTCTACCACTGACCCACCTTCCTCTTTTTTACACTTTTAAATGTAGCTATTAGAACATTTATTTTTTTGTATAATCTCATGTTTTATTTCTCTTACTGCACTGTTGAAAGGGGGTAAAACCTGACTTACAAGCAGCCATGTAGGATGGATGTCTTAGCATATGCCAGTAGTACCAGTTACTCAGAGGTTGAGGTTAGGAGGATCACTTAAGCCCAGAAGCTCAAGATCAGCCTGGGCAACACAGTGAGACAAATGCTTCAAAAATATTTGTCCTATCACTGACATCATTTCTTCACATGCCTAGTCCTAGTCCACACCTAGGGGAATATCTCAGTGATAGAGCTTCATGGATAGATTAAATAAGCTAAGGAGTAGTCCTTAGCTAACCAAACAGCCATGCAACCATATTTTAAAATAATTACCTAAGGAAAAGAAAACAAGTAAAATTAATTTAATACTATGCATCTCCTTCAGACAAAGTGTGTGAAGAGGCTTTGAAGAGCTGGTCAAAAGTTTGTGTTTTTAAAAAAAGTTAAATTGGACCCCAGTGGATCGCACTTGTAATCCTAGCTACTTAGGAGTCTGAGACCTGAGGATCGAGGTTTGATGACAGCCTAAGCAGGAAAATTCGTGCAACTCTTATCTCTAATACACTACCCAAAAGCCAGAAATCAAACTGTGGCTCAAGCGGTAGAGTGAAAGCCTTGAGCAAAAGAACCTTAATGACAGTGCTCAGACCCTGAGTTCAAGACCCAGGGCTGGTACAAAAAGAAAAGAAAAGTTAAATACAATAAGAAAAAATAAAAAGAATAGTTAAACAGTTTAAATGACTAAATTAAGAACATGAAATAATAGTTAAAGTATAACAGTGTTCATAAAACATACCTTTGTTCTAGTCAGGTCTAATATATTACTTTTTTAATGCATATAATGTACGTATATACATAAAATATATACTACAGCTTAACAGATATTTACCAAAAATAAATCTTCTCTCAAATCTGAATAATTCTCTATTACTTTAACTACAGAAGAACTTACTGGATTTAGATGGAAATAAAAGGTGTCTAAACAGAAAACTACTTATGTGACAGTGGTATTAATTTTAAGCCTACCTTTTCACCATTATGTTAACTTAGCTATATTAACATCCCTCCTGTTTTGTCAAACATCCTTACCAGTTCCATGAGAAAAGCAGTCCAAGAAGTCAGTAATACATTAAACTTGAAAACATAACCCAAACATATTTAATCTTTTGTTGACAAACCACAAATTATAGACCATTATAGATTTTAATAAGTGTCTAAGGCCCCCAAGTTTTGTTTTATTTTTTGTCGGTCATGGGGCTTGAACTGTGGGTTGGGCGTTGTCCATGTTCTTCAGCTCAACACTAGTGCTCACCACTTGAGTCACAGCACCATTTACCCCATTATTTTTTAAGAGTAGAAAAAGTTATTCACTTTTTTTTTTTTTTTGCCATTCCTGGAGCTCCTGGATTTTTCTGTGGTTAGAGATAAGAATCTCATGGAGGGGCTGGGAATATGGTAGAGTGCTTAGTGGTAGAGTGCTTGCCTAGCATGCATAAAGCTCTGGGTTGATTCCTCAGTACCAGATAAAACAGAAAAAGCCAGAAGTGGCACTGTGGCTCAAGTGGTAGAGTGCTAGCCTTGAGTAAAAGAAGCTCAGGGACAGTGCCCAGGCCTGGAGTTCAAGCCCCAGGACTGGCAAAAGAGTATCATGAACTTTCCTGCACAGGCTAGTTTTGAACCTCTATTCTGAGATCTCAGTTTCCTGAGTGGCTAGTATTACAGGTAAGAGCTACTGGCTCCATGTTTACTTTTAAAAACCGATGTGTCTAAATAAAATGATGTGAAATAAAACTGATGTGAAATAAAAATAGATTATAGTATGTTTCCATTTCTAGGAAGTTATCAAATATATAAATTATTGCTTTTAGGGATCAGTTAGAAGTCAACAGAATATATTTAACACAAGTTACAATGAATAAAAATTTGTATTCCAGGTTAATTAAGAAACTTCATGAAAAATCTAATATCATATCTAACACAATTCTGTTTATTTGGAGTGAGTGTCTTGATCCAAATTATTATTATTACTTTTTGCCTTCAGTCTGCTTTTACTAAGACATGTGATCTAATGCATAAGGGTGGACTGGAACAACCCAAGCCTTAGGTAGCTGGTGAGCTTCATACCTTACTTAACATGATCACAATATGGATTAAATGTCATCAGGAATCTTAAAGGACATTAACCATCCAAATCATCATAACGGTTGATTCTATGAGATCACTTCATTTGGTTATACCAATTGACAAAACAAGAAGTAAAACTATGGACCAATAATCATTACTAATATAAAAAGCAAAACTCTTCAAGGAGATAGTAACAAACCAATTCAGTAACAAAAAAATGGAGTCTATACTACCACTGAAAATCGTTATCACAGAAGGTAAGATGGTATGCTATGAAAAAATAATTTGTGTAAAAAAGGGTAAAGAGATGAATATAATCAAAAAACATAAATATGTAGCATGTGCAAGGTCTATGTATATATGGCCTTGCACATATTATTTGCTCTACCACTGAGATACACGCACAGCCCACTCCCACACTGTTTCTTAAGTATGTGACATGCAGAGTGACTTACTTATTAAATACAAAGGAAGGGTAAAAAACAGAAATTTTGACATGAAGAAATCTGGTCACATGTACTTCATTCTGCTGATCAAAATAAACATCATCAGAGATTAAAAGAAAAAGTTGATGGTAATCAAGGCTTGGTACATTATCAGCATACCCAACTTAGTTTGTAGGATTTCTTTCATGAGAAACCAATCTCCTCATATAGGTATTTCAATGTAATCTCCTCATATAGATCACAGTGGACTCACAACTCTTAGTTATTATGATCTTTAATCTGTTCTCAACCTGTTACCGAAGAACTGTGTACTTGTTTAGAAATAAAAATTAACCAAAATGTGATGAAATGTCATTTATGTCACTCAAGATAGAAATGTTTATCTTGCTAGAAAACTCTGTGTTGGTGTCTTTGATGATATGCACAAGAAACCAGTATGTCAAAATACTAAATGAAGCTAATGGTCAACTGTCAGCAAGAAATACTTTCTTCATCCAATGTTCTTCACATAGTGTACAATGTATTTTTACATCATAAAACTGAATTTAAAAAGAGCTATTCGTCTCATATTTGGGATATACATTATGTATGTCAAAACAAGTAAACTCAATTATGTGATATTGAATTAAATCACATGATCATGTGGATATAGCTAAAAAGTCAACTTTAACTTGTATTGATTCATTTTGGACACATGTCAAAGTATGTGTCTGCATCTGTTTATAAGTCTGATCTAAGGATATTGTGTTTTCAACCACTTCCTTTGATTTTTCCCATCTTTAAGTTTTTAAATTAGCTACACTTGACACCAGCCAATGGGCTCGTGTTAGGTAAGTATCTTTTCTATCAAAGTAGTTTGCTTCTGTCACCTAAGAATTGTTTTTCTAAAAAGTTCTTGCTTGGCAAGGTGTCTTGGCCCTTGTTGATTACATTTTAGTTACATTCTTTTCCTTGCTGCACTATCATTAACATAACCTGTTATAAGTTCCTTAACTTTTAGTTTCATGTTCTTAATTAAACCACATCCTTTTACAGATTGAGAACCTGACCTCAGCCAGGTTCAAGGCAGAGGTAAGGCCTGCTGGGTTAGGGATAAAAAGGTAGCAGCCTGCCTGCTGTTTGCTTGTCAGATTTTTAGATGATGGCGCACCCTTCTGTAGAAGTAAACTTTGCCTTGCCGAGTTCCTTTGGAGTTGGTGTCCTTATTTCTACATAACATCCCAACATCCCGAGCCATTTCTAACAACACATCAAACAGGTGTTTAAGGACCCAGGCACCTAATAATACTGAGACACATATTAGAATAAAGGCCAGGAACTAGGTTGGGTGACAAGGGGACCATGAGACTCAAAATGACTTGTCAAGGAGCACAGAAAGGGCTATCTGCCTTTAACTGAAACCCTACCTATAGCCAGGCCTGACAGGATGTTGAGACTGGACAAGGAGTGCTGTTAACTATGATATGTACATATGGTGATGAGATAGTGGGGGTCTCGGTAGCCAATGAGTCCACTGGGGAGGTCTTGTGTGAGGAAGGGGCTCGGATAAGGGGACCTGGGGAAGTGACTCCCCTTCTATAAGGATGGGGCAAACCCCATGGAATCCTGGTAGCCAGGCAACAACATTCCAGAGTCAACAGCAGCCAGCTCACTTGGAGAGCAACCTTGAAGACAGAAGGATGTTCTCCTGTTGTATGCCCAGGAAACCCTGGTGTGGCTGCCTCATTGGAGCCTGGCGTCGCTGGATCAATGCTCACCCTGGACTCCAGCGCCTCGGGCCATTTTTCAATAGGAATCCAAATGAAACAAACCGGAGTCCAGAGCAAGTATATTCAGTCCAGGTAACTTATTTGTGCCAACCCAGCCAACATTAGACCTTCCTGAGTTTGTAGGTTTTCTTGTGAATGTTAATGGTAATTCTGAGGTTTTCACTTGACTTAATCACAATGAGTCAATCTGAAGTGTGCTACCATTTCTATCTTTGAACTACCTCTTTGTTCCACTTCAGGATGAAACTGAGTCCATCCCAACCCAGGAAGGGCTCCGTAGGGTGAGTACTGTGGAGCCAGACATGCTAGAGAAGATGGTAAGCCTCCTGATACCTCTCTACCAGAAGGAGGATCCCTTCTTCGTCCCTGCCTTCCTGTTTACTTACAGAAGGTTTACAACAACAGGGCAAGTGTTGGAGCTTCTGTTTCAAAGGTGAGTACCTCATCTCCAAACCCAGGGGATGTTGCCACCCTCCTGGCTAAACACAAAAATAACTATACTGTTTGTTTCAATGGCATCTTCTGAACCAAAAGTGGGATGAGACCAAGAAGTGCTGTCCCCAATTTGTTCCTCTGAAGTGGGGTGCCCAGGACTGTGGGTATCCTGTAGGGGATATTCTACTTCCCTTGAAACAGAATTCTTTCTAAGGTCTCATTTATGTGAAGTCCTATGGTACCACATTTGCCATCAGTAAGCACAGTTCCCAAACCAATCTAGGAGGCGACTGAACTGCAGACAGAGAAAGAGCAACAGAGTAGGTGGCCTGAGGGCCCTATGTCTACTGAGCTGTAAGGAAGGATCATATGGGCTCTCACTGCAGAAACATATGAAACATTTATTTGGGAGGCACATTCCAAGTCCCTTAGTGTAAAATTCAGAGAATTATGCAGATAAATCTCCCAACCTTCCAAAATTTATTCCCAAGCAGGATTTAGCCAGCCTACCTGGATAGAGAAACAGTTGGTAAGCAAAATGGGACATTAAAGAGATGACTTCCAGGCTGGGAATGTGGCTTAGTGGTAGAGCTTGCCTAGCATGCAAGAAACTCTGTTAATTCCTCAGTACCACATAAATGGAAAAAGCCGGAAGTGGCGCTGTGGTTCAAGTGGTAGAGCACTAGCCTTGAGCAAAAAAGCTAAGAGACAGAGCAGAGGCCCTAAGTTCAAGCCCCAGGTCTGGCAAAAAAAAATAAAAATAAAAAAAGATTACTTCCTCTTCTCTTCTGGTAGGTATGCCTATTTCCAACCTGACTGTGAGGAGGATGAACAAGTGAAGAAGTGAGTAGAATTTGAGATAAAGGGAAGGGCTCTCCTTAAAGAGTGGCTAAATATTAGAGCTAAATATATTGAAAGGTGGGAAACTCCTGCAAGCACATCACTTGTGATGGGGCCTGAGGCCTCTCTAAAGGCTTGGAAACATAGCTGTGGGTGGGGTTCTGGACTCCCAGGAAGCAGAGGAGACTGTAGGCTGAAAGACCCATGGAAAAACAATTGTATATTATCTGGTCCTAATAAGGCTAAGCAGCATCCACAAACAGGTATCATGGGGGAGCCATAGAACCTTCTCACATGGGTCTCCTCCCTCTTCCCAACATGCAAGTCTGTGCGTAAGATGGGCAGTCTCTGCATAGGAAACTGCCTAATAAGGGCTGTGGAGGTGCTTGATAAGAAGAGAGCAGGCTCTTATTCTACTTACTATCCACCTGCACACAGCACCATGTGTTCCTTGCTTGCAATGTGGCTGGACAAGTACCCTGAAGATTTCTGCCAAATCAACAATCTGTCCAACCTGAATAAGCTGATGGCCTACGTGCTGCTCAACATGCCCTCCTCAGAACTGGCAGTCCGTGTACACCTTCTCCTCACTGAGCTGGAGACCAAAGAGGCAGACAAAAAGAGAAAGGAGTCCTTAGGTAGGTGGTGCCTGAGAACATGTGAGGAGGGTTGGAAACTAGCTCCCATGGAATGAGAATCCCAGGCTGGTGATTGGCCTGTAACCACTAGTAAACCCAGTGTAGGAAGATGTCCTGCCATGGTTAGTCTATAGCCAGTATCTACTCTGTTGGAGACTCAGAAGGGTCAGTCCCACCTCAACTGTCACAGCCCCTCCATTAACAATGCATCTATTTCCATCCTTAGATCTGGGGCTGCATATAGCACCTGCTCCTGAGATCAAGGCAGAGGATATGTCTGTGATGGAAGCAGATGTGGTATTGAAATCAGCTGCTCCACCAGCTGCAGAAAATCTAGTACCTCCACAGGATTCTGTGCCTCATGTAGTGGTAGTGCAGTTTGTGTCATCTATATAAGGACTACAACACCTTCTGCCTCCTGTACACTCACCTCAGGTCAAACCCATGGACTATCCTCAAATAGTGACAAAACTGCAGCAAACGGAACATCTTCCTACAAAGTGCATCATGGTGACTTCCACCTTCCTGGCTCAACATCAGCCATGCAAAAACCATCTGTGCTAACCTTCATCATCCATTCCCTAGTGACAGGACCTCAGTGTGGCCATCAGTTCCTCCCAAGCCCCATCTCTCCTCTACACTTCCAAATTACATAGACTTAAAAAAAAATCTCCACAATCTGCCTTTAAAATACATATATAAAATTCAAGTTTTGTAGGAAAGTTGACTTCAGAACTTATAAAAGTAATTTTTGGCTTTCCTGTTGAATAAATCTTGAGTTACAAATATAGTTGATATGAGTTTGAATCTACTTTAAGCATGACCTGATTAGCCCCTGTATATAACAAAGATTAAGGGCCATGAAGTATTCTTTAAGGGGAGTGGAAGTTCTAAAAGGACAAATCTAAATGTTATTGTCTGTGACAGTAAGCCCTAATTTGTCTTGGACAGGCAATAGGGTTGCCTAAAACTGAAATCAACCATGGTATCTAATTCAACATATTTGTCTTCCTTTGTTCTAAAAACATACCTGAAAAGGTCAACAGACTATAACTTATGGCTGTGAAAATTCAATACTTAAAAGTCCAAATCAATGTCCTCAAAGAAAAGCTATCCCAGTCTTAAAGAGATACAGAAGACAAAAATGAAAAGCATTCATTAGTATTGAAATGCTAAATCCAAACCTAGAGGCAAGACATGTTTCTCTCTCCACACACTTATGTACCACACATGTACATTCATGTGTGCACACACGCGCACACATGCATATACACATACCACACATACACATACTTTACTGCCCCAAAGCAGTATATTATAAATATCTCTGGATATTACATCTTTGTAAGAGAGAGCCTGACGTATAGCTGGCTTGGAAGGACCCAGTGCAGCAGTCAGACATGTTCCCAGGTCAGCTCTGCTCCTGGCCAAGTGGTGTAGGCTGGGCCACATGGTGAGTGGGGAGCGGGTCAGGCTCCTGGGTCAGCTGTAGGTGTTGTGCAGGATCTGTAGCACTTGCTGCTAGGCGGAGCTCCTCTGTTTGCTCTTGGTGGGCATGAAGATGCTCCAAGGTTTCTTTAGACAGTGTAATCACATGTACTGGTTCTGTCTGTGAGGGCTCCATCTGGCTTTCAATCATACTGAGGCTCTGAATGTGTTCTGTTTGCTCTGGCTGAGCTGAAAGAATTAAACTCTGCAGTTGCTCTGGTTGCTGTGTGAGCAGGGTGAGATTACCAGCCTGGTCAGCGGTCATGTTCTGGGAACTCTCAGCAGCCACGATGCTGATTCCCTGGCTAGGACCAGGCATGAAATTGATGTTATGCACAGAATCAGTTACGAGAAGCTGAATCTCCTGTTCTCCTGAGGCAGAGAGCTGATATGGCTGTAGCTGAAGAAGATTCCTGACCTCTTCAGCATTACCACTGCCAGAAACACTGCTAGAATCTGATGCTTGTTTCTCTTTGCTGTGAATTTTCAAGTGAGCCTTCAAATTGTCTAGGCGAGCAAACTGTAAGCTACACTCAGGGCAGGAGAAAGGCTTTTTGCCTGTATGTAGGATGCAGTGTCTCCTCTTGGCACTGGAGTCAGAGAAGGACTTGCCACATATGCTGCAGGAGTATGGCTTTTCTCCTCTACAAGAAAACATACATTTTATTTTAAAAACAAAAATATTTATTACTTTCTGTTTATTGCAGGAAGAATAAAGGAAAACTGAGCTGAGTTGCAAGTCATGAATTCTCCTACTAAAGGAGGAAGTCACACTTCAATATACTTGTCTCTAATATTAGCAATTTTAAAAAAGGGTTAAAAATTTTAAAAAAAACAAAAAGGGGTGGGCAGGGTTGGGTGTGATAAAATTTTGATTCTATAGTATTCATTTTGGATAAGAGCAAATATTTACATACACACTACATAAATAGTTTTTTTTTGTTGGTTCTTACATTCAGTTTTTAAGACTGCAATGACCAACTAGGTATATGTGTTTAATATCAATATCAAAAACTTAATCAGTTCTAAATTATTTGTGAAGCTATTAGATACATCTATGTCCAACTTGGGATTTTTGTGAAATTTTTTTCAGAAAATATTAACATTAAGTATTATTTTTTCTTTTATTGAGATATGCTACATTGCTATGTAGCCAAGTCTGGCTTCAAACTCTTGTTCTTCTTGCTTTAGCCTCTTGAATGCCAGCATTACCGCTATGCCCAACCCCACCCAGGTCAAAAAATATGTTTTTTTGTTTTTTTTAAATGGAGGATTTAAGTTTTAGGCTTGTTCTCAACCCAAAGCAAAAATCAATAATGAAATCAACAATGCAAATTTTTACTGGTTAGAAGTAGTACTACCGATTTTGCCTAATAAGAAATTTCATTATTGAGAAGATAATAAACTATATAGAATATTCTTCCAGAGTCACAATTTGGAGAAAAGATTTTACATGAGTAACCTAAGTCACCCCCATTGAACACCAGAGCTGAATGAAGTCTCCACATGAAGAAAGTACTTGCAAAACTTTACCGATGAATTCTGATGTGGGTCTGAAGAGAACTCTTTGCTGTAAAAGATTTGCCACAAATTTCACAGGTAAATGGCTTCTCACCTGAAAAACAAAAGAGAAAACCTTTAAAGACACACATTCAACATTTAGGAAAATATAAAACAACCTCCTTCCCCCAAATACCGAGACTATATTGTTTCACAAAAAGAAAAGAGAACAAAGGCAAGCTCTGCATCAGTGAGAACCACTGAACCACAAGCAAACAGCTCCTCTGCTCCTCTGCACGGTTCTGCGAGTACCAAGACACAGGAAGCAGGGTGGTTTTGTCCTTGCCACTGAAACAAGGAGGAAGTGTTTACACAGAGGAAACAAAAAGACCTAACTGTATTTATTCCTGCATTTTCTGCCCTTGGATATTAACAATGACTTCCATACACACTTGACTTAGAGCCTGGTTAGATGTCCCATTTGACTTTAGAAAGGACTTGTGTGCACAAGGTGACTTATATATTACTCACATGCCTTCCACATATACGGAAAATGTGATCATTTCTCATCTACATCCTTCTATGTGCACTCTTCTAAAAGACCACTTGCTTTCTAACACTCAGTCACTTAAGCAGCCAGAGTAAGCTGAGGTAGTTATATCACTTCACTGCAAAAGTTACAAGCACTTCCGTTCTAAGACGCCCTTGAACTGTAAGGGGTCACAGACCTGTACTGTCCCACTGCTCCATACCCACTCCTGGCTGTAAGATGAATCTCTTGAGTTCATCTCAGCTCAGCGTAAGCCACTCCTTCCAGGCTGTCCACTAGCAGCAAGGGAGCAGCAAGGTTTTCTCACCTCTAGCCCTAGCAATCCCTAGTCCTTTTCTCCCACTTAGCTTTTCCACAATGCTGTCACCATCTCATAGACTGTATGTTGAATTTGTTACCTACCACTCCTTTATTTATTTTTCATTTCAAGCCCCCAGTCCTGGGGCTTGAACTCAGGGCCTGGGCACTGCCCCTGAGCTTCTTTTGCTCAAGGCTGGCACCCTACTGCTTGAGCCACAGCTCCACTTCTGGCTTTTTTATGTGGTACTGAGGAATTGAACCCAGGACTTTATGTATGCTAGACAAGCACTCTACCACTAAGCCACATTCCCAGCCTCCACTCCTTTCTTGTGCACAGTAACCTCTGGGTTTATCTACTCCTCAGTGCCTAGAATCTCTATAGTCTGGTACAGCTCCAGAAATCCTTGCTAAAAGAATGTATTTCTCAGGACCAGATTAAGGCTCACAAGAATCAAAGTGACTACTCAGATGGGCTCATTAACATTATTAAGTGCTGATTCAGTGTTAAATTTGTATACTACACATATGTCAGCCTGTTTATGTTTATCTAGAAACAAAATTAAGTGATTCTAATTAAGTGATTCTAATGAAGGTAAGGGAAGTCTGAATAAAAAAATGAGGGAGAGAGGAAGTGAGGAAGGGAGAGAAGTAGGGAAGGAGAAAGGGAGGGAGGGGAGAGAAGTAGAAAGGGTAGAGAGAGTAGAAGGGTGGGTAGAAAGAGAGGGGGGGAGGGAGGGAGAGAGAAAAACAGCAAAATTCTGCTTAGCTAGGTAACAGCAAGGGATAAGTACGCAGTGCCAAGCTCCATCCAAGCAGAGATGACAGCGGTATGTGACAACTTGAATGAATCTGAATCTTCACATCATGAATTCCAAAAGTTCATAGTCTTTACCCCAAAGGTTAAGAGCTAGTTCTTTGCTTTCTAAGTCTGAGCTGGGAACTACTCTCACTTTAGCTGATTTACCACTGAATTGACACTTGTTGTCAAGAAGCAATCTGAGCAGTAACATTGTTTCTTGAGAGCCTTAGTCTACTGCTGAGAAACTCATCCTTTCAACAAGGATTTCTGAAGCTGTGTACCAAGTCAGATTCTAGGCCCTGAAGTACTAAGAGGAGATAAACCTAGAAGTCATTGTACATAAGAAAGGAGCAGCAGGTAATAAATATAACATATATGAGATGGTGAAAGCATTATGGAAAAACCAAGATTTCTAATTCAAAGACCAAGTACTCTGGGTTTGCTCGGTGGTGTAGTGAGAAATGGTCAGATTCTAGACATATTGGAAATACATATAACAATGTTAATTTATCATTCAATTCAACTGGTTTATATTTAGGAAAGTTTGCAAATGTTCTGATTAAGGACAATTGCTAAAATAATGGGAGTCTACCCAGGAATAATATCCTGTAGCTAAACCTCTTTGAGAGAGGTAGCAGGGAAGACTTTTTCCTAGCCAAGGTGAATGTGGGTATTACAGTCTAATTTGTTTTGGTGTAACATTGCCTGAGAGTAGATAAATTTGTTTTAAAATTTCTGAGTCTGGAAGATGGGAAGTTCAAGGTAAGGCATCTGCATCTAGAGAAGACTTTTTCGCTGTGTCATCTCCTGGCAAATGGTGGGAAAGAGCAAATGAGAGAGAAGGGAAGGGGCTAGACCCATCTTTTTTTGTCAGGAATCTACTTTAGTGCTAATGGCATTTCTCAATTCAGGAAGGTCTACCTTTAACACAGTGTTGCATCAGCAATTCAGTTTCCAACACACGAATGGGGGCTATATATCTTAGCTCTCTGCTGCCTTCAATTAAGTGATCCATTCTGCTCAATTAATTCAATTTGGAAACAGTGATATTCTATTAACAAAGTCTAGAGCTAAGAAAAAGAGATGATGATTGCCTCAAAAGAGGTTGCAGTTCATTTAGGAAGCAAATAGAGGGCTGTTTGCCTAAACAT